ATTTGCATGTAGCTACTTATTTGTTTTTGTATAATTTGATGTAAGCTTTTGTCTTTGGCTGACCCCTTATTTACACGTTACACTTTTTTTTTTTGTGCAATTAATATTTTAAATTAATTTTTATTTCAGTTAACACTCTTTACAATTTAAAACCTATAAAAAACCCCCCAAATTACTAACGAAATCATCATGCAAATAGCAAGTTTGACCACAAAATTAAGGTGCAAATGGAGGGTTTGATCATAAATTGTTGGGTTTTTCACGAATTTTAAATAGTAGAGGGTGTTGACTGAGACAAAAATTAATTTAGAGTGTTAACCACGAAAAAAAAAAGTGTAAGGTGCAAATCGGAGATTTAACATTTGTTTTTTGGGTATTTATTGTCAGTTTTGACACAAATTAATCATTTCCAGCTCGGCTTAATTTATTCCATTAAAGAAAATTAATTTTTTAATATTAAATTTAAAATTTAAAATTTAAATTTAATTTATAAAATAACATTTATTTATTAGTGTTCTAATATTTGAGATTATATGTATGCTTTTTTGTATCATATTATTGAGTACAAAAATGATGTATAACCTATCTTACATAGATTAAATATCTTATAATTATTAACAATAAAAAATAAATACTTTAATATTGAACTAATTACTCTCTGTCAATAATTATAAAATTTGTAATTTATTGTAGTTCATGGACAACAGAATGCAAAATTGCTATCTCTTGGATTATTAACATTACATGTCTGTATAAAAGAAGGGATTATGCTTCTTATATATCACATTTATTTAAAAGAATGTATAACTTCCGAAGTATAAAAAGAAATATTTTTTTTATGTTTTATATTAGGTATCAATTAATAATATGATTTTTAAATATAAGTTCAATTGGATAAAGGCTTCCTCTATCTCTATGGATTCACTTTTATGTAAATTTTTTAATGTAAAAAGTTGATACATTCATAATATAACTTTATAATTAAATTTTATATTATCCGTACTAATATTTATGTGATACTAATTAAATAAATAAATACATACTAATTCTTGCATTTCAACTAGTTAAGATGGAATCAATCATAACATTAATTGTATGATAATGATTTTCCTCATTTTCTTTTTCCAATCATATATATATATTACTTTGCTGAGAAAAAAGAAAAATTCATAAGTTAGAAGATATAATAATATTATAATTCTTTTTAGATTCTTTTTGATGTTCGGAGGGGAATTCAAAGACGCATCTAAAATGGGATTTCTTAGGGAGGCAATTGGGAGACAATTCTTCATAATTTTCTAATCTCGATAGATGATCAAAACTTTTAACTATATTAGAGATTATTCTTGAGAGGAAAACAAAAGAACTCTTATAAGAACTTTGTTTTTCAACTGGGCCAGGTGTGGTTAATGGCCACACAGAAGTCTATTAAAATCATATAAAACTTTATTTAATTTGATTGATATTTTATTTGTTTATAATTTATTTAAATAGTTAGCTATATATAATATTATCTAAAAATATCAATTTATAAATTAATTTAATCTATTAAATAATAAATATTAATTGTTTTTATTAATTATTAGTTGATTTTAATAATTTTAAATAATATTATATGGTTTTAACAAATTGATGTGTGACCATAACCATACCCTTTTTAGTTAGTTAAAACAATGCCTTCAAATTCAAACTCATCAAATTTATAATATTAATCAACACGTACTGAGCAATTTTTTTTAGTACACTCTGGAAAATGCATCAAGAAATAACATTCACACCTGGAAAGAAGCAGGAAAGATATATTAAAAATTCAACCATGCATGCATATAATGCTTGGAGATGAAACAGTTAATTAGCTAAAATCCCGAAGGTGAAAGTTTAAGGTGGAGATCAATGCCAATCTCCGCCTCAGGTAATTGACTGGAGCTTTCTTCAGCAAAATGCAATGGTTGTGCCACGATAATTCGTGGCGGAAACTGAGAGGGCTGCGGCGATGGAAGAAGTAACGGCCTTGATGGGTGATAAGTAATTGGTTGCGGCACAAAATTAGCAGAGGCAGTATTGTTCCTTATAGCATGAGATGATCTCACGCCATTGAAGCTGAGAACGGGAGCGGCAGCTAGGTAAGGCTGGTTGCCGTGGAAATGGACGCGTCTCGCTCTTTGGCGCTCCCTCTTGTGCGCATTTTGATGGCCTCCTAACGCCTGAGAGTTGGCGAATACTCGGCGGCAGAAGGGACACCCAAACTTTCTATTTCTCTCAAAATATTCATTGTCGTCTTCGGTTTTGTCTGAAACTTCGTCATGATCGGTCAATGGAAATCCAAACAGAGTCAAGGAAGAAGAATTTGAAGATTGTTTGTGTGATTTTGGTGTGTTTGAGCTCTCTGCTGCCATAGTTAGAAGAACTGAAGAAGAGTGCTCAAGTCATGCAATGCATGTATGAGATTAGATATTTACCTATTTATAGAAATGGAGAACCCTTTGTTTTACAGTAAAAAGGTTATTTTCAAGTTGAATGAAATTAGCGTTTAATAATAACCCTTTATTTCTTTGCAAGAAAATAATTGAGGAATACGACATCTATGATGGAAATGAAAAATATGGATTGGTGGAAATCGGAAAAGAGCCCGTGGAAGACGGGGGAATTAGCGTACGTCACTGTCTGTAATGGAAAACGTAATAATTGAGTGTACGAGGTTGTCCCTACTAAATTATTCTGAATTCATCTCTAAATCTCTCGTATCTACACGCGCGTGCCTAGAGGTCGTAGCTCATTTTGTCTAAATTTGGTGGGAATTTTTCATATTTTTCTTTTTCTACTTTCATGTATGAAAGCTAATTCGTGGGTTTTAGTAGGTTCCCAGCTTATCTGCATATATATAATGTATTTTTGTGGATTTTCTATTCTGCAAATGTGTAAAGTATGGGTCGTATGGGATAACATGCATGTAATGAACTTTCACTTTTCGTATTAAATTTGTGTAGACGAAATAAAGCAAATGTTGATCTTGATATTATTAGTATATAATGAAAACATCAATGATTTTGATCAATTAGTTTAAAAAGGGAGTACATTGCACTT